AAATGAACCAGCTAATTAAGTTCGCCTTTGTATTAATGCTTTCTTACTATTCATTTAAGTTATATATATATATATATATATATATATATATATATATATTATGTCTCAACTAGTTTGAAGAGCACCTTCCGCCCTCTCTTGATTACGTGCACTATCCCCGTCACCGCTAATACGATCATACTACACTAAGAAAGCCACACCAGCGTCGATAATACGACAAGTGTTTCGGCTCTAAACGAGGCCTCCTCAGGTGAAATAGAGTGCGGTGGTTAACCGCTAAGTGCTCTTAAGAAAAGGTAAGACACGCCTTGTAATTTCATCACGCGGATTTTAACTAATTCATTTTTAACATCATTAACATTAAATTTGTGTAATTAAAATCACAACAGCTAGTTACAAGTTCATTGCAGACCATCGTCCTTCCGCAGTTGTGTATGTAGGTCTTATTTTTTATCAATCGATATAACAATTAACCTAAACAACTTATATAATACATATTAACTTAGGCTGTAATAATTCCGAGAAACTGATGAGCTACCGAGCGAGTGATGTACACAATTCAAGTTCCTGAACCTAATTTTTTCCTCATAGTCAGAGCGTTAAATTGTTCTAGAAATACTAAAGGCAGCGTTAAAAGTACGCATGCGTGAATAAAGCCGCCATTAAAAAGGGAACAATAAGAACCAAGTTCTCACGGCCTTTATTTAATCTGTTACAACGATTAACCACAACGTAGTAAACTAAACTTTTCATTAAATCTGATGTTATCGTTATACCCGTGTCTAAGGAGAATATCACATATTACACTATCTTCAACTGTACTATCTAAGTTCAAGGCAGGTACTCAGTGACAATCGAGTTTCAATTCACACTTTATAACGTGTAATATGGTCTAGTCTTGAATTTTGACATCGTGACATAGTTCTCTCTAAATACCGACCTTAGGGTAAGCCCAAGGCCGAAGAGGATTCACAAAGTTAAACAATAATTAATGTGGATTTATGGTCTAAAGATTGTATTAAAATAATTGATAGAATCAGGCGTTACTTTGCGGAAAATCATTATAATAAAGATATTAAAATTTAATTAGCAACCATCCGCTTAAATAAATACAATGATGCGTCTTACCTCTTCTTCCAGGTAAGATACATCATTGTATTTATTTAAGCGGATGGTTGCTAAATTTTAATATCTTTGATTCTATTAAATTAATTTACTCATTATAGCCTAGATTTTTCTACTTACTATCAAAATAGACAGCTTAGGGGCACAACGATCAACCTTGGTTTTGTAGCACAAGAGCCAGTTGGTTAAAATATTGTTTAGAAAAATGACATATATATATATATATATATATATATATATATATATATATATATATATATATTTTACAGACATATAGGTACATAAAAAATACACAGTTTTAAATTTAAAAGCAGAAGCAAATAATTAAAACTTATTTATTACAAGGAATAAAAAATGGCTTAATTACATTTTTTTCAAGCACACAACAAACAGACGGTCGTCTGCTTTTTTGAAAACACCAGTTTCTTCAAGCAACAATGTCGCCAGAGCAGGTTGAAAGCAAGTCGATCTCGAAAGTGCTGATGACTTGTTGCTTATATGGAATCGACGATCTCTGGAGGGTTAAGTTTTTATGTTGACAAAGAAGCTTGTAGAATGCTATAAGCTGAAGAGAGCCCGTAGTTAGCAAGAACACATTTATGATTTATTAACATCGAATGTGATGAGTTCAAGTTTTGTTAGAGTTGAATAAAACTATTAATTCAAAGAAAATAAAGTAATCATATATTAGTGTCATTCATATCCAAAAAAAGAAAACATTTCTTAATCAACTTGTGTTTTTAGTGACTTTTGTAGTAGGTATATTTATTTATTGTTCAAATATAATTGTATTATTTGATAAATATGAACATAATTAATAGATACAGGAGTTACTTTACGAAAATCCACTATATTAAATTTGGTAAGAATTACTTCGCCCATATCCGCTCAATGAAATAAAATGATGTGTCTTAGCACCACTACGCTAGGAAAGTCATCGACGATAATACGACACGTGTTTCGCCTCTACGCTAGGCATCCTCAGGTGATATAGACTATGCGGTGGGTGACCGCTATGGGCGAAGTAATTCTTATCAATTTAAATATAAAGAAGTTGCAATTGTCAACTAGTTTAAATCCATTTGAAACCGTTGTGAAAACTACCATTAAATCAATAAAAAATGAAAATCATTCAGGTGCCATTAAGCAGCGACGCTCTGGCAGTGTCGTCTACGAATATCTTATTATTATTATTATTCTATAATCTTCAAAAAATAATAACAGTTCCTGCTAAGACGATTCATGAGTCTATTATAATAAAAATAAAATATCTTAATTTTAATTAATGATGGCTTATGATGAAAGCGCCATGGTAGCGTTCTTACGTTGTTTTGCACTTTGCAGGTCAGTGTGACGTTGTACGTTTAAGAAAATATGATTCGCGACCGTCAATTTGTTACAGTTTTAAAGTTACACAAATTGTTAAAATTGTAAGTTTGTTAAATTGTTTATTTGTGTCAGCGTTAATGATTGAAATAATAACCCAATATAATAATGTGAAAACAACCGTGTGCCGTCCCCACGTACATATTAACATAATCATGTTCCCATGACCGATTTCGGTCATCGGCAAAGTGTTTTAAATTTTAAATAATAATATCTTGTGATATCCCCATCTACTCCAAAATCCACATGGAAATAAGCTACTTGTTGCCCGTTTATTGGGTGTTTGTAGGATGATAGGTACCTTTTTTCCGTAATTTTCAAAATGTTAATGATAACACATAATGAACAGATGCAAGTAACCATAACATTTCTTGTTAAATTGACACGCTAAACTTTCCCTATTTTTTGAACAGTGTATAACTAAAATTTTGCAAGCTAACATTTTATTTATAGATGTGAAACTTTCCAAATTGTTGGAGGAAGGAGTATTTATGAGATCCCGTAGTCCGACAATTGTTTGTTTGTGAAGCTGTTAATTAAGGGCCATTGATAGTTAACAGAACAGTGATGAGGGTTCAGACTAATAGAAATTGATCTTGATAACTCAGCTCTTTGCATACACATCAAATATGAATAGGATTCATCATATTCACCTTGCGGCGCAGTCTATTGCACTCCCTCTAGTCGCGCCACTTATCGTGATCATCTTTGATCCTTATCCAGCTGTTGACAACAGACATGTACACTATACAGGTATAGTCAGAGGCGTTCTGAACTAATAATGTATAACCACCGTTTCTACCCTAGGAATAGTCTACTCCAATAGCATTCTGTCACTAAATCATTGCCACTTAAAATTTTAGACCCTGAAGGCTATATTGACATAATTAAAATTAGTAATACAATTGTTCAAAAAACGTTTTAATAACACTACTCTTATATTATATGTTAGATGAGTTTAGAAAATAGAGAAAGTAAATTTTAATGCAACGTTTATTTATTAGTACCGTTATAGTATATATTTAAAACATAAAGCGGCGCTTGTAAGGGCATTACACAGCAAAAACATATATTAAAAGGTAAAACGCAATGCACAGTAAAACCAGTTCCTGGTCTACACACTAGTGATCCTGCTAGTACTTGGAAATATCCACGTAGCGTTTGACAAGAAACTTTTTGTATAAGTCTTTCACAGTTATACAGGGATTAGATTCCTTCTGTGGGAACTTTGTGCAAAATATCTATATTATAGTTACTGTAGAAGTCATGGTTAACTAAAATACAAACGTGGGTAGATAATATAGATGACAATATAATTTACATTTACTCTTCGACTTCATCTATGAAATATATATGTCTGTTTGTGGCTTTAGAATCTTCCTAATTACGAGCTTTAGAAATGTATCGATGATACTTCGCTCTGATTTTACAAAGATATTAAGTTATACTTAAGGCATATTTTAAGAAAATCGAGTCGCACCCAGCGCCTCGTTTGTGCAAACACGCAAATTATTAATTTCGGCAGTGCTCGTTTCATTGCCTACATCCTTTCATTATTCATTAGATCTAGGTCACGGGTAGGAGATGGCAAGTAAGTATTAGGAAGTTTTTCACTATAATGTTCTCTTACACGTTTGATTAATTTCGATAGAATTCTATTTATCGCCATGGTTAAAGTAAGTGGATGGTGTTACATATATATGTTACGGCTAAAGGTAGGTGTGAACATAAACTTAATATTAGCCGGCTAAACTTAGGTTTATCTTCGAGAAGCAGCTAAAGTTCGATAACATGTTAGTTTGCGTCGTGATATTCCATCTTTAGCCGGTTAATGTGCACATTAACCGAAACGAAACGGTTAAAAATGTATTCGATGGGCGCGCCGGGCCAGGGGAGAGCTTGAGGACGGTGGGGGGACAACGCGCGCACACGTGGCATGTTTTGGTTTAGTATTGTGTCATCTTTCTTTGCGGTTGATCGCACGCGAGTATACCTGTTTGCGATGTCGGCGTTGCACAATCTCGAAACGTTTAAAACGAAGTTTGACAGTAAGTTTCGTGAGTTACTAACATCAAAACGAACTGATAATAGTTTTTATTTGAGTGACGAACAGTACGATAATGTAATTCAAGAAGTCAGGTCAGCAAAACTCGCCGCTAAGCGTTCAACATTGCAGTATCGACGATTAAAAAGGTTTGATGTTTGCACTATTGGCGGCATAGAAAAGCTAATAGCACCAGTGGCAGGAAAAGGCAATAGCATCTTGTATTATGTGAAAAATTCAGACCAGTTTGATGTGTTGCATACCATTCACATTGATACGGGTCATGGTGGGCGGAATCGCATGATAAATGAATCAAAAAAGTACAATAATGTGATACAAGGAGGAATATTATGTATTATGGTATTTAAGTTTATGTGAATCCTGTCAAATGAAATTAAAAACTAACAAGAAAGAAATAGTCGTCAAACCAATAATATTTTCCGAAATGAACAGCAGGTGTCAAGTTGATTTAATTGACATGCAGAGCAGTCCAGTTGGTGAATTTAAATTAATTTTAGTTTACCAGGATTATTTAACTAAATTTGTTCTAATTCGCCCTCTACGTACAAAAACGGCAGTGGAGGTGTCAAACGTGCTTCTTGACATATTTTGCCTATTTGGCGCACCATCAATTCTACAATCTGATAATGGGCGCGAGTTTGCGAACAGCGTTATGGCAGAATTATGCAGTAAGTGGTCAGGCTTGAAGATGGTACACGGCAAACCTCGACATAGCCAATCTCAAGGCAGTGTTGGACGTGCCAACCAAGATATTCAAAACATCTTGATGACGTGGATGAGTGATGAAAAATCCTCAAAATGGTCGGAGGGTCTTAAATTTGTACAATTAAAGAAAAATTCCGCCTATCACGACGGTATCAAGAGAACAGCCTACAAAGCGACGTTTGGAAGTGAAATAAAAGTGGGTTTAAAGTCATCGTATTTGCCTCATGAAGTAACAAACCATCTAACAACGGAAGAAGACCTACAAGAAGTGATAGATAACTTTAAGGAAAATGACTTGAACGATGAACAACAGAGCTCCGAACTTCATACCTCAGAAAATATCTGCATGCATTTTAATTGACGACATGAAATGCCCTCCGTGTTCAAAAGAAGCAGATATTGAACATAATCGTTCAGAAGCGAAATTAAATTTAGAGTACTAAGCCATTAAAATGAAACAAAATTCCGCTGCAAAGTTTCCAGAATGTCATATAAGCGATACAGTATGAATAAAGATACCGGAAGTAGATCGAGGCCGAGGCGATTTTAGGAACATTTTATTGACAGTCTTAGATAAAAATGAAGACGGACTTTATAAACCGGGCAACGAAAACGGTACGATCAAACAATTATTTTCACGAAATCTGTTTACAGTTTGTGAACAAAAATTCGTAGGGGTGGTGTTTGTCATCTTGCAATCAACATCAGGTGGACAAGGCTTTCAAAGATGTTATTGCAAGACAAAATGTGGTTACACGCAAATGCCGCTGCCGAATAAAAAATGTTCTTTGTAATTCGAAATGCTATTCTAGTTTATCATGTTCCAACAAATAGCTCCATATTATTTAACAATATTGACTAGATATTGTTTTAAGTAATTAACACTGAAGAAGTTTCATTTTGTAATTTTGTTTTCTTTTGTTATTTTAAATACCTACAGAAGATTCTGTAATAACCAAATGGTTCCTTCTTATTTTATTTTAATGATAAGGTAGATATTGTTTTAAGTAATTAATATTTTTTTAATTGAAATAATTGTAATTTTGAATACCTACATAGGTACATATAAGTATGTGTAATGAGAGTGATTATTTTTTAATAAAAGTTTTCATGTCAAAATAGTAAACATTATTACATTGTTTCCTTTTCCATTTCCTTCTACATTTTTTGCCAAGGGTCTGCAGTTACACTTAAGTTTAGCTGGCTAAAGATAGAATAAACTAACATTAACACCTCGTCGAAGATAAACCTAGGTTTAGCCGGCAAATCTTAAGTTTATGTTCACACCTACCTTTAGCCGTAACATATACGTACATATAATCGATTTAGAATCAAATTGAAATACGTTGTCATCCCTGCGGACTAAGGTGGAATGCCGCCTTACCAGTTAAGTCTTCGTTTCTCTACGCTCGCTACACAAAACACAGCAGCGTTATGCTGCTATTTTAACTTTCGAGCTGTAGCCATAATATGTAGCAGCGTGGGCCACCACTAATATAATAATATGATATAAATAATCCTAATATCAAAAATGATCTTTAAAAGTTAAGTAAAATAACAACCGACATACGCCCTACTGCTTGGCACACCTCTATTATCACGAGGGTTTTTATCGAGAAGTTTCTGCTGCTCATCTCCTGGTTTGTAACCCTCGGGCTGACAAGGGATAGTGAACACTTACAATGTGCGGCTTATTAGAAATTTATTGTATTACGGTTTCAGGTTCCCAAAGGACATGGTCGCAAAATGACAAAAGCCTAGGTAAATATTGTTTTCTTTTTCAGTCTAGTGGCATAACTAGACTAACGTAGAGATTATATATATATATATATATATATATATATATATATATAATATAAAATCAATAACATCAAGTAATAAAATAACTCCTAAACTGTTTCAAATTATTTCAATTTTCCCGCGCACTCCACTGTTCGACACATGTCGACCGATGACCTCGTATTGCCTTAGCGATACGTTTATACAAAGGTACTCTGTGGCGATACTGCTGCTGTCATAAAGTGAGTTTTAATAGAGCGATTAGTTGTCTCCCTCACTCGCGTGGGCTTTTTACGGGGCTTTCGAGAAGACGATCGCTCTCTTTCTAACCTATGGCAAAATATTCTATAATGAAATATAACTACGAAATGTTTATATAGAAATTACTATTGAGCCAACAAGCCTGGCTTTGCCATGAAGTTGTTTAGGAGTGCGTTAGCGACTAGCGAAGTGGTTGCGGGCCCCTCATATGCAATTTCACTTCACATTTCAATGTTTATGTTTATTTTTGTTGTGTTTGTTAAAAAATTATGCTTTTTCGAAGATTTTCAGTGAAAATGGGAGAATAATAGTATTCATTGTGATGAATATAAGTGTGTTGAAGTGCTAATCGGAGAAGAAAAGGTAAAAATCTTTAAAAATGAAATTTAATATTCAATAAACATTTCTTCATACTTTAAACGTAGGTACAGGACTCTTTAGTATTAAAGTTTAATTAAGTTAGGCATATTTAAAGGTTCAATAACTCAATATTAATATCAGCAGCATAAAGTATGAGACCTAGGTTTAATTTTAGAGGAAATAAGAGTTACAATCTTTTTTTAACGTGAAGCCGAAATTTTAATTAAATAAATCAAAAGAATACAGAAGAATGTATTGAGGTTTTTAAAGAATAGTACTCCCTTTAGTTATTTCCAGTTAGATTTCTCTGTCTACTTTTCAGTATATAAAATTTTAATGGCGCCATCTACTTAATTCTATACGTAAAGTCTTTTTATCGAACGAAAATTGGTTGATTCTCACGATGGTACCTAAAGATTACGCTAGATGGCACAAATACGCTATCGACTAATTTATAGTGATATATGAGTTTAAAAATATCATTTTGTACGGTTTATTATGAATTGAAAATGAATAATTATAATTATAATAAATAGTCATTATTTTATGGTAAAAAATTAGCAAAGCTTTATCTTCTCATTATAACTATCTAATTCCTGTCTTAATCTGTTCTTTTATGCATATAACTTAAACAAAATATAATTTCGAGGTTTCACATCTGCCAGGCGTCCCTTTTTTAACTTTGTACATAGTTTGTTTGTACTTTGTTCATGTATTGTATTGTTTGTAAATATCTCAAGCAAACCCAAACGGCTCTTTTCAAAACCACCGAAGGTGTGCAATTGCATATTATGTCATACAATCTATCTAGCGGTAGTATGCTTTCTGTGTGCTTTGTTAAACACGTCCTTGTCAGCACTGAATATGAAACTAAAGAGTGGAGACAGCTCAAGATTGGTGTATTTTTATTAAACTGCTAAAAACAACAAACCATATCCTGGGATTGCCCTAGTTTGGAGCCCTAGCTTCGCCACTGATCAGGCTAATATCAGTTATTGGGTTTTCTGTCAAGAAATTCTCGTCGGATAACTAATGGGACGCCATCAGGCTATGAGAGTGAGGAACGTCCCATTGGGCTATGTGAATAGAGAGTGCACTTGTGCTTACGCACACACTCGAACACTTTAATCCTGTCCTGCGCAGTCTCGTTGAGAGTGGCCGCCGTGTACGAAATCAGTCTGGAGGACATTATTGTTATAATGATTACTAAACGATTTTTAAGGCGAATGCTTAGCAAAAATGTCTTTATAACTAATCCTATCGAAAGTAGGCCAGAATCAATAGCTTTGTTTCATATTTATGGTGGTGATTTTATTGCGTTCCATTCATTCATCACGTATAGCAGTCAATAATTCACTTTTATTATGATTAAAAGTACTTGAGAAATTACCTATTAACTTTCGCCACACAAAATATGACTAGGAAGTAATTACAGTCATGTGATGAAAGGATGTACAACTTGTAGTATAATCTCCGTTCATCAATTGCAAGTTGCAGGCGCAATTGCTCACACCCACCTACACCCAACTGCAGTTGTAGGTATTCATTATAAAATTACATATTACACACATACTCTCACATCTTAAACATTTTACCTTACAATAACATTTTACATACGTAACTCCAAAACCCAAATTGAACTCATTGATTTTGACTTTATGAGATTTAATACTTTTGGAAACATACAAATATGCCCACAAGTTACGTTATCCTTTTCTTAAAACATAAATTTTCTTATGTTTGTTTTTTGCACATTTTTCAGAAATTAACGGTTCGCATTTAAATTAATTTTCCGCTATAATATCAAAAATCGTAGTAAAGTTTGTTTTTCTATGGCAGTAGCGAACCAACGACGCACCGAAATGATTGCATTGTAAATTTTTTAATTGAAAAGCAACCCTATGAACCATTGAATAATTTGTTTGAAGGTAAAAGTAAAATTCTGTTAGCAAAATTCATTCGATATAAAAGCTAAAATCGTATACTTATAATACATTTACATTCATAATAATTCAATACTTCATATTCGAATACGATTGTGTAGCGCTAAGAAATAGAGGATTATTAAGAGGTTACTAAGAGGAGGTCCAGAGAGAGCTAACATTTACCGCAAACAATTCGTCTATTTTCGTTTGTAGATGCATTGTATAGGATAATGGTAGGTAACTGAATGCCATTATTATCATCAATACTCTAATAGATCCACAATACGTTCAGAAGAAAACACGCTGAGGAGACAAATGAACAAGTAAACAAAGCCTAGAATACAATAAGAGGAATATTATATGAAAGATAAAATAAAATAACATCTTTAATATCATTAACCTACGACATATTGTTTAAAGTTGAGTCACCTAACTAGTGTTCGTAAGTTCTTAAATCCGTGGATGTATGGTGGATTCTAAAAATAATACATAAGTACATAATTTTTTTCTGTAAAGTAAAAGTATACATGCTCGTCGGTTAAGGATAATTTTGATTCAGCCCATCTTCAATATATCGCCAATATGGTCGATAAACTTTCGTCTACCTTGCTGACTCTGCTGTTCACTTTTGCAAAATTTTCACACTCTACTCGTTCTTTCTTTCAACCTGATCAAATTACTGAAGCACTCCTTCCTAACCCTGATTACATCATCTTGCCAAAAATAATATTTTTAGTAAAAGAATAAACAAACATTAAAGCCCTTAACCACTCTAAATAAAGCTTTAAATGCCAGTACTAGTAGTTCACAACAATAATAGTCGAATGACGGTTTCGAATTCACGACCATTTAGTTTCGTACTTCGTAGCGTATAGTAAAGTTATGAGATTTTTTATTTTCGGGTCATGATGCGCTGTGATTATCCCCGTGCCTCCAACCATACATTCTATATTTACATAGTCTATCTGCGATGTAATCACATACTTCCGGCTCAGTAACGTTGGGTCGTTTGAGCGTTTCTGTGCTCTTACTATTTGGAAATGGTCGCATTAACTGCAATCGAAAAGTGAATGTCAGTAAAATAACCAACCGAATGTTTACATCAGATTATTTCAAAACTTATAATAAAATGTAGTATCCGAGTCCCAAAATTAAATAAAATCGTATTTGTACATTTAGTAAAGCAACTATTTTTTCTCTATCGAAGAATTAAAGCCTTTAATTCAGATTCTTAGAAGGTATTATGTAGACAGATTTTATTTAAGTTTTGTTTAAAAAAATTATAGTTTGGGATGACAAACGAGCACACAGTCCACCTGATGGTAAGTGGTTGCTGCGGCCCATACACATCAACATTTCTACTCGATTACGAATCAAAATGTAGATGCGTTGTCACCCATGAGGACTAAGATGGAATTCCTAGTTTCCAGTAAGAAGGGCCTCGGTTCTCTACACTCACCATACGAAACATAGCAGCCTTAAGCTACTATTTTACGCTGGTATTCTGTGAGAGTGTGGTCCTTCCCCGGTCGAGCCGACCCATTCATTATACAACTATACTACTAATATAACTGCAGCATGGCTCTACCACGTATATCTTTTTACAATGTGTAATTATTTTAACACATTTCACATTCTATCTATGTCGTCTAAATAGTTTACATTAAAAACTTTATTACCTACTTTTCACCCTTAGGGACGATTTTTATTCCAAGTTTATAGGGGACAAACCTCGAAGTATAAACCATTTAATAATATATAATTTTGGCACGGACTTATTTTAATCTTTTGTAATATTAACTACATTTTACATTTCCTAAAACTTAAACTGGCAATCCTAAAATCGTTTTTGTCAGATTTCCGAAGTCACCTCGTCAATTTACATTTAACTCTCTCTACACCGCATTCACCGTGAATGCACTTGAATGCATTTTGCTCGCTGACATGACGCAGACGCCGATTTTAATTTAAAATTAAAACAGTTATGGAAATATTGTCGATGCGACGAATATAATTTGAGATACAGATTTAATAACCAAATAGTTACGAGCAAAATAAGGAATCGTTTATTGCAAAATTATCGAACATTAATTAATTGGTCTCCTTATAACTCTTCATGGAACTTATTTAATAAAAGATTATTTAACACGAAATTAGTAATAAAATAAACAAAATGTTTTAGGTAAAATTGTACTGATACATCTGAGATGGCAATGTCGATCATCTGGTTTTAAGAACTGACTACCGGTGGAAAAAAAATGTTCTCGAATGTCAGCGTCGTGCTGAAAGCGAAGCTTATGCCCCCCCTATATGTATGACGATAACGACTGTATGTGAATATTTTACACTTTAATTTTAAACCTATATTTCACCAAATAACTTTTTTTAAATGAGCGTGAGCACACAGTCTACCTGATCGTCAGTGGATGCTGTGGCCCCTAGACTTCTACATCTATCCTTAACTACGAATCAAAATGGTGACAAACTCCAGACGATTATGATTGAATGTCTCGTATAAAAAAAGGGGTCGCACAGTAGTATTAAGGTGACACCGTGAAAAAATGCACCTCCTTTCATCGAATAGTATAGGACTATGACACCACTAACGAAAGTGGGATTTTGATATAGGTAAATTCATGTCTTTATCTTGAATTTGATTGCTCAAAAACACGATGTATAATTTTGACTCGATCATAATTATTTGCGAAAACACCTCTAAAAAATCACTATATTTGAAATTACAACGAAATCATTTGATTGGAAATCACTCAAATATATTCATAACATCAATATTAATAATTTAATTGCTCATTATTTTGATAACTTAACCCTTAAACCCTACCCGGGGGGTCCAGCAAACCCCAGAGGTTGAATATTTGTAGATATTTTTGCAATAACGAAACGCACTATTGTGCCACTCGAGCTAATCTTTAATTACGTCGTCGGCCATCTTTTCACTAGTCTAGCGTCAACGCTTACACAGTTTAGACGGAATTATAACTATTTATGGGTCTGTCAGACCCCAGGGTAGTAATAACGTAGTATTTTGTCATTTCTTTTTGTCGATACATTGGTGAATGCAGTTATTTTTGATACAATATTTTAAAGGGTAAGTTTAATATTTGATGTATTTATTACAATAACAATAGTGTTTTTTTCTTTAGGAACGTATATGAACAAATCTAGCAATATTGTTGTTTCGTTTTAACAGTTTATTCAATATTGTGTTTTATGCCATTGTTTTAGTTTTAACGATCAAAATTGCGTAAGATGGACCTACAGATCACTCAGTGGTTGCATGAAGACCAATCAGAAGATGAAGAGGCATGTGAAGTCGCTGTTCCTGACCTTGAAAATGATGTTGACGAAGACGGAATTATTGAAGACTTTCGAGCAGAACATCCAGATGATGATACAGAAAATTCTTCATCGGTAGATGACACTCCTCTGAGTAATTACAGTTCAGGTAATTTTCTACGTGTCTTACCTGTCCCTAATAATCTGAAGAGCAAGGACGGGTTTAGGTGGACAGGTGAAAAACTAGAGTCTAGAGTCCCACGAAGAAATATTTTGTTTCATCCTCCTGGACCTAAAGCTGCAGCTCGTGAAATAAAAACAGAGCTGGAAGCATGGAGTATTTTTTTTTCTGATGAAAAGCTTGAAGAAATTGTAAGAAATACAAATGCTGAAATTGGTAAACAGAAAGAAAAATATAAACGAGACGGACCTGTACAGAATACGGAAGACGAAAACGCGGACGCATCGAGTTCCACAAAAATACGTCCTTCTTTTGCTAAGGATGCAAGTGTGGTGGAAATGAAGGCTTTGTTTGGACTTTACTACTTAGCAGGGGTACTCAACATAAATCACGTCACCACCAAGGAATTGTTTGACAAGAACTCAGGTGTTGGCTATTTTCGTGCCACCATGAGCCAAGCCAGATTTGAGTTTCTGACAAACTGTCTGCGTTTTGACGACCGGTCTACCAGAGAAGAACGCCAGCAAAATGATAGATTAGCACCAATTAGAAACATTTTTGATCACATTGTCAAAGTTTCGAGTGAAGTATATAGCCCTTCAGATTGCTGTACATTAGACGAAATGTTATTGGGCTTTAGAGGTAGATGTATCTTCAAAATGTACATTCCGAGTAAACCAGATAAATATGGTATAAAAATTTTGATGACTTGCGATGCTAAAACTGCCTATATGTTAGATGCTTTTGTATATTTGGGCAAAGGCTCGTGCCCTACAAATGTAGCAGCTGCTCATTTCTTTACTTTGAAATTGACTGAAACAATTCATGGCACAAACCGCAACCTCACTTGTGATAATTGGTTCACGTCAATACCAGCAGCAAAAGAATTGTTGCAAAAGCAGGTGACCCTTGTAGGTACACTACGTAGAAACAAGAGAGAAATTCCACCTTCTTTTCTTAAGCTAAAAGATCGCGATCGCAACACGGCAAAGTTTGCCTTTACAGGAGAACTTACGCTTTTGTCTTACTGCCCCCCAAAATCCAAACAAAAAAAAATTGTCCCCATGTTGTCAACTATGCATGCAACAGCAGATCCTGATGCAACGATTCAAGTACCAGAGATGATAGAGTTTTATAATAAGACTAAATGCGGAGTCGATTTGATGGATCAGCTATGCCACAAGTACAGCGTATCTAGGAGATCAAAAAGGTGGCCAATGGCAATTTTTTGGCCTTCTGAATATAGTAGGTGTTAATTCATATGTCCTGCTAGAAATGGCCACAAAAAAGAGTTACAAAAAGACGTCATTTCTTGAAAAAACTTGCCATAGATCTGATCACCCCTCAAATGGAAGAACGATTAACATGGCCCTCTTTGCCCATGAATCTTCAAGTTCTCTTAGGTGGAATCTTGCAAAAGAAGCGGCCATTGCACGAACCAAGTTCTGATCCCACTGCTAAAAAAAGATGTGCAATGTGCCTAAGGGGTAAGGATCGAAAAACCAAGGTCACCTGTGGCATGTACCAAAAACCTCTTTGCGGTGAACATACTGAGGCCATGTGCCAAGAATGTGTTACCAAAAACCATTAACAATTTTTTTGTATTGTCTATTAAGCAGATTATTATAATAAATAATAATTGTAATTAAATTGTTTTTTTATTTTTTAAGTATGAATTTTTATATAGTGGGGTCCTTAAAACCCCTGGGTAGCAATAGTGTTTCTCCTAGAATGGGTAGGGTTTAAGGGTTAAATCAATAATTTTTTAAAAAAATATTATAAGATTCTGACAATTTCTAAGCGCTTTTAATCGTCGCGGGCGCTACGCAATTTTAGACCTTATGACGGCGTTTCTTCAAGTTTTTATAGAAATTATGTATTCACTCGGATCAGTACGGCGATAGCGTTTTCGATGTGTCGTCTTAAGCTGATATTCTGTGAGTATTGTCCTTCCGCGGTCAAGGCGACCAGTTCGTGATACAACTATAATATAGCTGCAGCATGTCTCTACTACGCGTTTTTTATTATATAAAAAATTTTAATACAACAACTGAATATTTAGGTCGTCAATAGCAGTTCGTCGGATGTAAGCTCACAGTGCTAGTTTCAAAGAAAGACGGTAGCGCATTCGCAATATGTTACGAGTTTAACGGTAATGGTGTATTTGCGCTCAATGTTTACGTGACGAGCAAGCATTTCTGGGCTTAAACTTGGAGAACGGAACTTTTGTGTAGTAGTTGTAGTGTATGTAGTTTAGTAGTAGTAGTGTGTGTAGTTTTAGTATCTTCATGATATATGAATGATGTAAGAATATCCACTACCCCATATCGTCTTGTGCTACACTACCCGCCTATCAAGCGTAGGAACCATAGTAAAATCCCCGCTATGAGACAATCTATGGAGCAGGCCTGCAGCAATGGACTTTATAGGCTGTAAGGCATCTATTATAGCTCCTTTTACCAAACCCTTTTTATGTACGGAATTGATGGGGTTTTATAACATTTTAGCACAAAAAAATTAAGGGTTAACAGTCCACCTAAAAGTAAAAAATGAGGCTACCGTAAGCTACGAATGCCTGCAACTAATTAACAAAAACGCTACAGATGCGTTGTCACCTTTGATGACTAAAGTGGAATGCCTAATAGCCTATAACTATACTGGTTCACACCCTTCTTTCAATATATTAGATTATAACTTTTGTATTGTCTATTGGACTATGGTCATGGTACATGAGTGTTGAATATGTTAGACCACTCAAAAATCATCAACTTCAAACTAAAGCTTTAACGAGCTTGAACTTCTTTTATTTTATTAATGCTCGACATATATAAAAAGTATAAAATAATAACTCATACTTCGGAGAATGTGCGCAGGAATTGCATTACTTATTTCCTCTCTCTCCCTTCCAACATCAGACAACCCGACGCGGGGCCAACCTCCATCCATTCACTCATAGCACGCATACGAACAAAACTGTCTTCTTTGTCGTTCGTAATGCAAACAGCAAAAGAGGTGAATAATTTGACAACATCTGTCTTTCTTAATGTCGTACGAAGCGAAAGAGAGAATCGAAACAGTAGATGAACAGCAGTAACTTTCTCATAAGAACTCAATCACTCAACCTCAGAAGAAAATAATAAAAAATTAGGTTGTTTACCTGCCTGCCCAGACTAACAACTACGGCAAATGTGCCAATATGAAATAATCTATAGTGGTGGCCATTGCTTAGCAGTGAACTAGGCGGTAAATCACGATGATGATAATGATGTGTCTTTCCTTACGATTACAGTCTGAAAAGACTTGTTTATCTGTGCCAAAACGCTTCACCGTTTTAGAATTAATCACCACTTACCATTAGGTATAGTTAACGGGTATAGACAATCACTGGTTTACAATGATTAAAAAAGACAAAACTTTTTATTTTTAGTTAGCATTTTAAGTATAATCCCGTGAAACGGAAGCCACGAGTCATTGTTTTGTTTCCACTTGGCTGCCAGTCCAATGACGTCAGCCGCCTTGAGAGGCCGCGCACATAGTACGTAAATTACATGGCTTTTAGAAAAAGCTAAGTACATAGCAAGTAGGGCGCATTGAAAGCTTCTGACCGCACTTAAATATTGAAATATCCAATGTTACATCTTTAAATTGAAGAAAGTCAAATAAAATTATTATAACTAGTATTAAACTAAAACTAGTAATAATTTAAAATATTTTTTGGCGGAAAGACGCGAGTCAACTGTATCTTATCACACAAGGTTCATCATCGGTATCAAAAAGGGAAATAAAGCGAAAAGATTTGAAGGCGATTATTTTTACGATTTTAAAAGTTAGCTCTCTCGCAAGTCCAATACGCTTTTGGGAAGGAACTAGCACAGAACAAAACAGAGATTCGAGTTGAAACTTCGAAATATTATTACACTCCGGAAAGAAAGCAGCAGTCTTCTGTATCATGGGTGCTCAGAGGCGACAGCATACCAACAAAAACGTTTTTTTTTCTCCTAAGCAGTCCTGTCTCACGATCCTAGACTTGATGAGCAAAAGGTCAATGTTAAAAAGTTAATGCTTAGTAGTACATCTACATTTGTTTACCCAGTGCCTTAAAAAAATTAGGACATTAGAACCATGACAATGCTTCCACGCACACTCAGTATACAAGCTCCACGCTCTCACAGAATACCAGCGGTAAAATAGCTGTTTAATGCTGCTGAGTTTCGTATAGAGACTCTTCTTTTTACTAGAAACGAAGCATTATAGCGTAGTACTAAGGGGTGATAACATTTTGGCTTTTATCTGAGGATAGATGTAGATGTCATTGGGTCACAGCATCCACTTACCATCAGGTGGACTGTGCGCTCGATTGTCACCCTTATTCTGGAAAAAACCGAGAACAAGATAGTCATTTTTGGCTTGTGAAAAAGTGGAGCTCTTGATCCAACCCGCATGCACTCCAGACCTTGCAACATACAATTTCTTTCTTTTCCCAAAAGTCTAAAATTTGATAATATTTACGGAGCCAAAAGAAGCCGTGATAGCTTTCAACCATCGCATGGTTTGATTTCCAGTGCCGTGGTAGCTCAGATGGTTAGCGCTCGCTGTAAATTTCACAGTACGCGAGCAAACCGGGCATTCGATCCCCGCCGGCACCAATGAAATTGTTAATTGCAATTTTAAGTGCTGATTTACCACGTGCTCGGCGGTGAAGGAAAACATCGTGAGGAAACCTGCATGTCAGAGAAATAAGAAAAAAAATATTTCGAAGACATGTGAAGTTCGCCAACACGCATTGGTGCAGCGCGGTGGACACTTCCTTGCCCTAAAACCCTCTCAGAAATGAGAGGAGGCCTGTGCTCAACAGTGGGACATATATAGGCTGTACTTTACTTGCTTTACTATGGTTTGATTTCAAACAAAACATGTCCGCAGACCAATGGTACTTATGTTTTCAAAAAAGGTTTGAACGAACGAAAAGTGTTTGAAATATAATGGAGAATACTTTGTAAAGCTGTAAATATATTAGTTTAGATATAAATTGTTTTATTTATGAGTTATGCAAAAATTTCAGTGTAAGTACATGTAACCATACCAACATGTATTTGTTAGTGTATTTGATTTTAGGCGCAATAATATGAAAATGGAACCTGAGTCTTTCATTTAACGACTATCTTTATATTTATAATCGTTGGTAGGTTATATCGAACCCAAATATTTATCATCGATAGTCAGATAGTTATCGTATAATTTCTAAACGTTTTGATCGAATGAGGTCATACTCGCCAAATGTATTTGTTTTCTTGAGACGATGGTACTACGCTGGAATCCGATTAGTAGCGCTGTAGTCAAGTTATTAGCACATTTTATATTTACTAGTCTTAAAAATATGAAATCGCAGAATCAGGTCCCGCGATATGTGGCGAAACTGTGGTAGAGTTATTTATTAATTTTTTCTTTACACTAAAAAGTCCGAAGTGAATTAAAAGTGAAACTCACCTATCACAAAGGACAGAACGTCTGTCGGACCTGTAGTAATAAATATAATGAAACAAACATATTATAAACCTATGACAGATTTATAATTATTTAATAGATAAACGCCTATAAACGCGTAACAAAATGAAATACTAAAAATACAAAACCAATCTTAAAATCTGTTCTAAATGCGATATCAAACATTTGTATTTATAAATGTTGCCTCCGACGCGACCGAGCCAACGTCCTCATTTGACATTAGGTGCAATAATACAAGAAGTCGATGCATTTTATTAAAAAAAAACTGTTAGTGATTTTCTTGCTTTTAATTTTATAATATAGATTATTTTGAAAATTTAGTTATCAAACAAGTATCACTATCAAATGGTTTTTTTTTTTACTATAATTAATGATTTTCGAAACAAATAATAAAAGAGTTTATTGTAATATAAGTTAATGGTACCTTGTTCGTAATATGACAAAATGTCTATTCAAACATTTTTGTATCAGTATCTCAAAATAATGTCGCATAGCAGTTTACTGTATTGTTTTTGTCACGTTTAGTGTTGGTCGTTCACAATTCACAATTAACTGGAGTAAACATATTCGGAACACAAAAAATACTTAAATCCGCCCCTTACCCTTATAATAGGACTATGGTATATCGTACTTTTTGCAACCGAATTAATATCAAGCTTCTTCGTAGAATACGAATTAATCAAGAAATCGTAACATATAAAGGGGTAAAAGGTAAAATTATTTAGTCCTGGTAAAAGATATTCTAAAGTTCAAATTTTTGCCTTTTACATAATTCTCTTCATAATTCATAGTCTTAAAAATCAACAGTTAATAAACATTTCTACGTGACAAAAGGTCCATCTACGAGAACATAGTCGCGCAAACAAGAGCAAGCAAAACAATAGTATAATGCAGTTAATTTTTTACGAATTTCTATTTACGTGACACAGCCACGCTGCAGCTATATTATAGCTGTAGCACGAATAGGTCGGCTCGACCAGGGAGGGATCATGCTCTAACAGAATACCAGCGTGAAATAGCAGCGTAATGCTGCTGTGTTTCGTATGGTGAATGAAGGGATCCGGAGACTCTTTTTACTGAAATCGA